AAAGGGCAAACTTCATACATGTATTCACATATACGTATTTTCCTAATATGATATAAATAATTAATAACAACAATTCGAAGGAAAAGAGGTTATGAAGGGGGTGACTGCTCTTGGAGTTGCCTGGGATTGTGTACAATACAACGTAACGCTTTATTTTGTTGTAGGTAGTTCAATAAATATTTGCTAGATAGATTTCGAACAATCAAATGCTAATATTATGGTAACTTCGTAGTGTTATAATTGTATAAAACCTATTTAAGAGAATTGAGCAATAATAATACTCATATGACTTAATTAAATAATAATACATATATATTAATTACATTTATACGTGTAAATATTCATAATTAATAGTTACATAGTTATTAATGTTATTAATATTAAAATTATTCTTACAAAGAATTTACTTTACAATCATAAATTAAAATTGTCTAAATGATATTTACTTAAATTCTTGGTTTCTACATTTTATATATAAAAAGAAATTATAATTTAGAAATTATTTCCTTCAAGGTTTATTATTGCTTGGCTTTCTCCAAAATTAGTCCATATATTTAATAACACATTGATCTTATTTTTATTATCTGTTATAATCTCGAAATTTAACGCATGTATCCAATTATATAGATTATATAGAACCATATTTTTATCATATTGGGATAAAAAATTGTCGGTTGTACATGTAAAAGTAAACAATAAATCTTATCAATTGTAATTAATCAAAAATGTTCCAAACTCTAATCAAAAAGATTTTTTTTATATGAAACTTTATTAACTGTTAATTGTAAACCGCAAATTAATAATTATCGAATATACTAAACATAGTATTAACATTAACATTTAAATATTAAACTATTACAAGGTGTCTCTTACTGAACTATTACAGCTGTATTTAATGTTTCTGTGATCGTTATCTGTTATTTTCAGAAGTACATATAGTGTTTACCTAACCTAACCTAACCCCATCAAATAAATAAAATATTTAATTGATTAATATTTATACTATTTGCTAAATATTATAAAATATTAATTAATTAAATCTAAATAGTTAGGGATACAGTTTTCAACGAAATTATTTATAAAACTAGTATTATTTATTATAGTTCATAATATCACCAGAAGACTTTGTGCCATGTACATTAGTAATCAATCAACTATGTCTTTTATATTGATGTCCTTGTGTTTGCGGTTTCAATTTTCTCGTTTGAATTAGATGGACATAAAGTACTGTTTTTTACTACGTAAAGACTAGTGTGACACGACCAAATTTGAACACGCGTGTATTACCAATAGTTTATCGTTCCATGCCGCTGCTTGTTGAAGTTGTTGTTTCAAAAAAAAAAAAATCTCATTGCCATAATTCATTGTTTCGTTGTTAACAATAAAATTAAAACAGTTGTAATACGCAGTGTTGTGATAAATTAATCTCGAAGAAAATGATTAATATATTTACCTACGTAATAATTGTATTTCTCAGTGACAATGGCGTATACATAACTTTTGTATGTTGAGGGGGGATCAGTTGCAAACAAATTATTATGGAAGGAAAATTCCTAAACCTAAGTACTTGCACATTTAAATAATAAATAATAATATATATATATATATATTGAATGTGTCAAAATAATAATTTACAATGAATCCTTGCAATATTTTTTTTGTTTTCTTATAATTTCCTTACATTAAGAACACTATTTTATACAATTTTAAAAAGGCCTATGAGAGGATCTGACCCACACATCGACCCCTTGTATATGCCTCTGCTCAGTGTAGGTACTCTATTTAAATTAAAAACATTTACAATATCCTTAACGCGTAAATAATATTTAAATATTGACAGTAACCATCAAAATTATATATTATTCACTTTATTATTCTAAAATCAATTAATAAGTGTTTTTTGGACTTAAAAACAGCATATGATTCAGTTAATCAAAAAATATTATTAAAAAACTAGAATATTTTGGTGTAAGAGTTACTAAAGTAAACTTATTTAAATCATACATTAGTAGTATCAACGAGTAAAAGTCAATAATATACTTAATAATGAATTATCTATCAATTATTCTATACCTCAGGGAATAATTTAAGGTCCCTTAATTTTTATTTTTTATTTAGATGGATTTTTAAATTAAACTATTGATCGAGGAAAATATTTTATTTTGGTGATGACACTGTCATTTTATTTAATAGTGACTGTAAAAATAATACTCAAAACATCATAATCACTGATCTTAGTAAAATTAAAAATTGGTTTGATAATAATTCACTTAAAATTAATAACGATAAATCAAAATTTTTGCAATTTAAAATTAAAAATATTAATAATTATTTATATATTAAAAAATATTTTCTACCTGCTGACTCTTGTAAACAAAATATAATAAATTCTTAATTTAATTGTCCTACTATTTTGAAAACTAATACAATGAAATATTTAGGTTTGCACATTGATGATCATATAAAGAGAAATATACATATCGAAAAATTAACAATTAAAATAGGAGTAATTTTTTATATATATATAAAACTATTAAAAATGTTTTGAATATAAACATAGGGTATATTATGCTTTAATACAATTTACTATTTCATATGTCTTTGCTTTCTTGGGTTTTGCTTATCAAATACGTATTAATAAATTATAAACTACGCTAAATTCTTTAGTCAAATATCTATTTAATAAACCAAGATTTGTATACAACCATATATTTCAGTAAACTTGAATAATGTAAAATAAAATATTTTTCACGAGAAACATGATAGCTCCAATGTAACACTAATATTAATCAATATTATTATGGTTTCTTTTATACTATATTTAAATTAAATAATGTACTAAAATTGTTTCCCGAGTATTTGCGAACAGTAAGTACTGAGTTAAAAACACTGAAGATGATTACATCAGCTAAAAAAATAGCTAAAGAATCACAAATAATAGCTGCCAAAAGTTGCATGTTTCCAGAATTATTAAAAGGTCGTAAAATAATGCAGTCGATTTACTTTTCTATCCCTGTCTCAAATATAGATTTTACAATTAAAATAAAATATATTAAATGGTGTTAAAATATTAATTCCTAATAATTCATACAATATAATACCATAATTGATAAATTTCAAACCCTAAACTTATAATATTGATTTTACTGTACGATCAATTTACAATGAAAAATACTCATGTTTTATAATTTGACTATATCCTTGTCTGATTTGTAATGTATAATATAATATGGAACAGTACTTCGTGTTACGAATACATTAAAAAAGAAATAAAAAATATCTACCACTATATTATTAAAATAAAATTATATCATTTTATTGAAAACAACATGCGAAATATCATTACAAAACGATTATGAACGTGTACGATTTTATCGAATACGTGTATATTGATTCTATAATAATTAATTTTATCGATACACTACTATATGATAATTTATATTGCATGTCAATCCAGTGCCTCGTATATACTATGTTCTACGAGGGTTAATACATCCCGTTCGTCATATAATTCCGTTATTTTCAGCATATATACCTAAATCTCGCAAACCAAACGTCAGCTAAAATATATCAATAAATAATGTTATATGTGATATAATCAAATCCAATACAAGGATCAACACACACTTTTAACACTAATTGCATATACCACTTACGGTGGATAGTCACTCACAGTGGATAACATTTTATGTGGGTTTAATTCTAAACTAATGAATTGCGATGTACGCATTATATTATTCGTAATTCAATGAAACCACCCTAGTTCTAATTCAACTATTGATATATGGAACATTCGCTCAAATAATTAAAACATTTTTACCTTTTGGAAGGTGCCTCATGAATATATTAAATTATCAACTATCGAGGGACGAGAAATTGATACAAAAATTATCCAATTAATCCTAATCATACAATTTTCAATTTTTTATTTCCTCAGCAAAAAAATATTATCAATTAAATATTTCTTATGTTCTTTATTTATTTTAATTTTAAAATCTGCCGAAATAATTATAAATAGAAGTGAAAACCGGTTTAATATTATACGTATCTTCAATGCTAGTAATGGGTAGTAATGATTTGTTTTTTTAAGATACGCTAAATGATTTTAACGGGTCGGGTTCTGTAGAACATATGAAATTCAATATTTTTATATGTTTGTTGTTACGTGAATACTTCAGAAGAACTGTTTGAAATTCATTATATATGTATATATATTATATATATTGTAAACAATGAACAATTAGAAAAAGTATTTTTAAAATAAATATTCGGCAGACAGACGCGATTAAATTCATAGTTTTCAATAATAATTGAGTATCTAAATGTATTTAATTACGTAAACGAGCGGTGTCTGGCGCACTAAAAATTCTTTTAACTAGGAATTTATACCTGGCTGCTGGGAGATGAATTCGAATTTTTATCGACAATATATTCAATTGGCAACGATTTCATGCACCGCTCTTGAAACAAGACAGCATTATTTTCGTGTAGTGATGTAATTATACTGTTTCTTCTTCTTATTTTTTAATAAATATTTACTCGTGATTGCCTATACAATTGTACTTATATTATTGAGATCAGCCACATTTTAATTGGGTTTAAGTCTCCACGCCCAATGGTGACTAGGTAACCTTTTTTTTTTTTTGTGTGGTAGACAAAACCACCGATTATTAAGACGTGCTGGTATAAAAATATAAATTTTCTTAGAATTCCGGTGGAGATAAATTTGAACCCCTAACCCCTGGAATAGTATTTGGCACGGTTACGCGTTAAATATGATTTGTATTCGTAAATAAAATAATGAAAAATTACATTTTTTTTTTTTCTTTTTGCTTTCTAATTTGCGGTTTATGGATAGAGTACTGTGTGTACTTTTTTGTTACTCCTCGAGGTCAACTGGACCCGTTCGACTTACATAGGCCCGCGCGAAGGACTTGATCCGGCCAACTGGGCATTGTTACTGTCACCTCTATAATGTATTGTTTTGTTTGTGTACACAGTGAACGGAGAGCTGATGATAATCCGATCGTGTGCGTGGGCGTCGGACAGCCGCAGCGACGACGGCCCGTGCGCCATAAACACCCCGGCCAACATACGCATCGAGCACTGCAGCACGTGCGACCAAGACTTGTGCAACGGCGCTACTTCGCACGTCGGGAGCACGTTGTTCCGGACCGCGATCCTGGCGACCGTGGCCAAACTCGCTTCCAACGCGTTCCGGAACTAGACGGCATCGCGTCGCGTGCACCGCGATACCACATTACCCGCGGTCCACTGTCCGTTACCCGTGCGCGTCGTACCTCTAACAATTCCGAATCGCCTACCACCTATAAATATTCAACACGTCTATAATCTCGAATTATGTATTATTGATTTGATTTTACTTTATAACATTTATGATTATGTTACGGTTAAAGTTTACGCTTCACTCTAACGGTTGTACGAGCAAAACACACATTCTTATTTATTATTATTATTATTGTTAAAACTATCGTTATCCTTTTTATTTTCTTTGTGTACACGAGGTACGTGTGTACATTTTAATTGATTCATGTATTGGATACGTTATAAACTAGCATACGTAACGACACACACTACACTTGTAGCTTAAATGTTTGTATTGTTAATCGATGTACCAACATGTGATTTGTTTGTATTGAATACCACCTAATTTTTATTGCGGTACGTCGGTGTGCCTATACGATTATTTTTATGAATAACTTATAATTTTATAAAAAATAATACCGTAAGTATAAATTTCGTGTTTTATAGGAACAAAAGTAAATCCATTATTATTATAATTTTTCTATTCTTAAATATAACGCTTTACGTAATATTGTGTAAGTACCTATATTAAGTAGTAAAAAAAAAAAAAAAAATAAAAAAATACTCTTAATAAATAAATAATTTTACTATTAAGAATTATATAAGAATAATTATAGTATACTATCTAAGGACCTATTCTTAATTCAATTTTTTGTTTGATAACAGCATGGACTATTTCCTTCTGATTAGGTTTTGGTTATGATTATTAATTTTAAGATTATAATAATACATATGTTTAACCGCATTTTTTATATATTGTTACGAATCATAGGGTAAGTGTAAGTAATAACCAACTTTTACCTAATAAGACAATTATGTTTTGACCACACTAAAATTATTATTGCTGTTTAAAATTGCTTTTGGTTTTTTATTTATTATATAAGTATGCATATATTTATATTTTTGTCAACGTTTTCCCATTTCGGGTTATAATAAAGCGTGCAAATTTTTATCAGTTATCCGTCCAAAAGGAATACGCGGATCTTTATTGCTGTGTTAAGCATTAAAGATCAACGTAATATAACATTTTGTATAAAATTATGTAAAAAAATTAATTATTACATTTTGAATATACTTTATTATTAATCTGAAACTACAGATTATGTTTCCAATATATTTTCCTATAATCTATCATACTAGTTACCCAACAGCCCTATATAAAAATACTGAAAATATTCGCTCATAGTCATAGAACTTTTCAATATTTTGTGTTCATAGTATGCTTGAAGTTTGATTAAAACTTACATTAGTGAAAAAAATATATGAATTCCAGATTATTCCTTCATACTTTAAATTTTAATATTGATGATTTTATTCTAGTACATGAATACATAATGATAATAATTAATAAACTATATAATAAAATGAGCAAGTAAAATGGAAAACAAATATTTATTTATAACAAAAATTCTGTTAAAAATTTAAGTACCTCGGTACTTTATTAAATTAATCACCTATTATTTAAAAATATTATATTTGTTTCAAGGTTAATGCGGTTATTTTTGTGGTTTTATAAATACTTGACTTCAATGATTATACGCCATAGCATATATCAAATAAAACCACAAATTATTAAAAAAAAGAAATTAAGTAGGTACATTTATAAAATTTAATATTCTGTAAATTTTTATTTTTAAAAAAAATTTGATTAGGGGAGAAACTGAAAATGAATAAAATATTTGTTATTTCAGAAAAATGTATTTATTATTTAATTAAAAAAAAAAATGTTTAACCTGAACTGAAAAAAAAATCTTATTATATTTAAATTATAAACACTTCAAAAAATTTAGATAAAACCCATTTTTTTTCTTATTAAAAAAAAAAGAAAATTATATTAGATGATAATAAAACAACATTTATACATCAATGATAATTATTAATTATTTTAAATAACGAATGGCGTTTTTTTTTAATCTAAAAAAAATTATGGACATAGGTACACGACTGATTGGTAAATTTCATTATCAATATGTTTATAATTGGTATCTGATTCCCAGAATTTATCTTCTTATGGTAAAGTTTTATTCATGAAGGATAAGATAAGTTAACAAAATACATTTAATATAAATTAATAATTATGATATTTTATGTATAAATATAAAATCCAGGGGATATGTCCCTCCCTTCCCCACCAATGGATGCTCTTGCAAATAACTAAAAACCAATAACTATTATGTAAATCATTTGTATTCATAATGGGTTAGAGTAGGGTGACCATATTTATGAAAAAAAAACGGGACAAATATGTTCTCTAGAAAAAAAAAACCACATTTTTTTAACTTCTATATTATATGCAATAAAAATAATTTTTAATATTTTAATAAGACATTGATTTGCATTCTTTTTTTTTGTGAGATTGAAAAAACTACTTAAAATATTCTTTATTTTTATTGAATTAAAGTCGATTGTTCATAATTTTCTTCATTACATCCTTTGACATTATATTTTTTTGATGAACTGATTGCATTTAATAGTTTTGGTTGTGTTAACAAAAAATCATAAAAATCATTATAGGAATATTTTTTAAAATTATTTTTAAGAATTATTATTGCTTTGACAGTTGGTACGAGAAACCGATTTTTTTCGTCCGTCCATAAAATATGTGCGATTGAAAATTTCTTTCTATTACTGCCTTAGTTAATCTGCAAAGGTACAGTGAACGTATATTTCCTTTTAGGCATTTTAAAAAGAACAATAAAAGTAATAATACTAACGACTTACAATAATTTAAATAAAAATAATTGATACACAGTGACTGTAACATTAATAACAAAAGATCGTTGCAATGTACACACGTTACTGCATGACTATGTTCGATTTTTCGATTAATGTATTTACCTAATATACCTATTATATCGAATATCGTTGATTATAAATAGTACTGTATATTGGTAAACTATTCGTATTTAATATCGATTTCGTTAGAAGTCTTGCACATGAGTTCGTACTACATATATATGTTACGGAAAAGGTCCGAAGGACGGCTAATATTAAAATTAGCCGGTTAATCTTAAGCTTAGACAATGCTTTTGGCTAATGTCAAAATTACGGACTTCAGCCTCCAAAAACAAATGGATAATCTTAACACTAGCCAATAAAACCAACATTATCCAACCGTTATCGGCTAATGATTAAGTAACATAAGCCATAGGTAAATTAAAAATTTAAGACTATTTACAATAATAATACAATATTTTAAAATTTTAATTCTTCATGAATATTGATATGTTGGGTAGTTGTATAGAGGTGAGCCATGCACGTGGTAAGTAAAATATTTTCAATAATATAAATATTGTACACAGTTTTGTGTATTTTGATATTATTTTAAAATTGATATTGATTGCAAAATGCATATGCATGCAGTTGCATACAATAATGTATGCTCAATAGAGACAATCCGTAATAATCGACGGTAATTACCGACTCACGTTTGTAAGTAATTAAGATACCAGCCTGTAGTACTTTGTAGGTATATCTTGTTTTCAAGCCTAGGAGTTAATAAGTTAAAATTTAAGTTAAATTTACTAATTAATTTAACTTATTTCCTTGCAAATTAACTTGAAATTAACGTATTACTTTTTCGTTTATCCCAATTAAGTTAATTTTGATTTTCAAGACCAGAAAAATATTTTTGTAAAACATCGCATTCAATAATCAGTTCAAGGAATTTAAAAAAAAAAAAAAATTTCAAAGAATTTTTAGATGAGACCTTAATATTTATCTCGGTATTAACTTTTGATAGGGGTCCCACCGTTCTCGGGAAAAGAATTCAACCGTTTTCAGACTATTGAATAAAAATAGTCATGCCACCCATGAATTACTCGGTATTTACTGGGTATTTACCCAATAAATTGGATAAATTTATTTCTAATACTAAAACCAATCCATAGATATCACAATACTTTTTAATGATTGTTTTTTGACTTTTTCATGTTTTTCCAAGACTGATGATTAGAGTACATATGTAAATTATATTTATGAAGTTTTTGTTAATTTTATTCACTTTGAAACCGATAACACTTTTAATGGTAAAACAAATAAATCTAAGAATTTAAAAACTAACTAAAACACTTCAAATTTTAAAATTAAATTTATTTAATAAAAATAACTATGTTTGACAATAAAAAAAAATATATTTACTTACCAGTCGGGTATTTACCCACGGCACATCAGTAGTCTGAGTGAACCGCAATCAACAGGGAATATAGGAGAAGACTTCATAGCTTGTAAACAGTACTCGCTTTTCGATCGATTTGAACGAATTAGAATCAATTTGAATAAAAATGGTAATAAACTGTCAATCATATAATTACGATCCATCGTAGCGTGTAAACCTAGCTTTACTTAAAATCGTGCTATATATGCCACGTGCTATAGTTATTCTACTGACAATTTCATAGAATAATTGTAATTCAATAATTATATTCATTTTCATATTATTATAAATAGTTTTATTTTATTTTATGCGGTGCCTCTTATTTCATGAGAACTGATCACACTCGGCATCAGTTTTTATATACAATACGAATGCCGACATCATTTTTTTTCTCTACCCATCATATTATTATTATACATACTGTCATGTATTTTTCCCGTAATCGATGACTTGACTATAATTATTTATAACACCAAGTCTGCATTAGTCAGAATCTTTTAAAGCGTCGACCATCCCCATCGATTGTGTACTTTTTTATTTTCTTTACACATAGACTTCATAAGCAAGTAATAATTATTAGAAAATTACATCGTTTCAACTAACACTGCATAATTTCACCTCGACACATCTCGTGTAGAAATTTGCTCCAATCATCACAATCATGGGAGGCATATGATAACTGGTATGTATCTAATATTTTTATGGGAAGATATTTATTTTATTAAATTTTCAACCGTTTCCCAAGTAACTGAGAGAGCTATGAAATAATTACGAAAAAATTCAATCGAAATCATGTTGCGAAATTGGTGACATCAAGTAAGTACCTTTTCACGAAAATTTCTATTAGATTAAAAAGAATATGAATAACAGCATTTATATTTTATAAACATTTCACAATTTTAAAAAAAGTTATGGTAATTATAAAAACATTTGATTTTCGATTAAAAGTTAAGCAAAATGAATAGTTTCGATATGAAAAAGCATTTTTATAATATTTAATGAATAATGATAATATGAAAACTATTAAAATATGAAAAAATGAGTATCTTTATTTGTGGTCAAAAAGTCGGTTGAAAAAATTTCACTTTTTAATAATTACTAATTGTAAAATATAAGAAGTAGGTAGTGTCGGAATATTTCGTGGAGTTTTGTACTTGGCAAATATTTTTTTTTTATTACTTTATTTATATTTCCACAATCTGTTACATAAATTTGAACAATAAGTGAAATTGATGAAATACATAACTATGGCGTGAAGGACGGATTAAAGATACCTTCCAGTGAAGGCACTTTTACAGTTAAATATGAGGAAAAAAAAAAAAAAAAAAGTGTTTAACAATGTTAGAAAATATCATAAGGAAAGATAAGTGGAAATAGCAAAGGTAGATATAGAGAGAAGAACAAAAGAAGTTAGATTGATCTAGACTAATAGGTCCCTACACCACCGCCTTTTCAACCTTTTTTGTGGGTTGCCGGGTATATTTATAGACGCAAATTCTTTGATTAAAGGATTTTTATGGTTTTGTAGGTTGAAATTAAAACGTCTGTAGAAGGTCTTATCTACATCGTTGACAGGAGAGATGGTTAGGTCGTTATGTAATGTATGATTTGATACGTAGAAGGGTGCTTTGGTTATAGCGCGGAGGACTTTGGACTGGAAACGCTGGATACGGTTGACATTTGTAGGTTTTGCGGAGCCCCATAATTGGATTCCGTACGTCCAAATTGGTTTTAAGTAGAGTTTATATATTAATAATTTAGTGGATAATTTTATATGATGAGAAGTAAGAAGAGAACGGAGAAGACGAAAACGATCGTTTAGGGTTAAGAGCTTGTTACGTATATGTGGAGCCCAGGTGAAACGTTGATCGATGGTGATGCCTAGGTAGCGAATGCATGGTGCGACAGGTAGAATTTGTTCATTAAGGATGATAGGTGGACATTTTTTTTTCCTAAGAGTGAAGGTGCAATGTATGGATTTAGATTCATTCATTTTTACTCTCCATTCCTTATACCATTGTTCGAGGAGGGAGAGATGTTCTTGGATGTTGAGGGAGGCAGTGATTGGGTCAATATTGCTGGTTATTATTGCCTTATCATCGGCAAAATCACCAACAAGGGAAGTGACTTGGCAAATATAAAATTAAAATTAATTTTTAGCTGGTTCAAATGAAATACGTTCAATTTGGATATAACAATGCCTAATTTATAAATTTATAAATGTTGTTTAGTAAACAATATTAGTTTTTTATTATCTATATTGAATTTCGTTTAGCATTTAAAACCCAGTGTCTTGCTTTACAATTTCATACCATAATATAATACATAACCAGTTCGATTTCTTATTATTATAATAATCGTAAAGCAACTGTACTTATATAAATAATTAATATACTTTATAATTTACAGATTATTGTTTTTCATGATGAGTAATAATAGCGTTCGGTCTGTTACCTGTGTAGAAGAAGATAATATATGTATGAACAACGTAGAAGAATTGCAATTGATGAAACCGGATGCAATGATTCCAAATGATAATAAAATTATGGCTCAGCTTATATTGCAAATCGAGGTTCAGAAGAAGACTATTAACCAATTATTATCAACAATTAGCGAAATGAAAAGTATCTGATTGTTACAAGCTTTGAACACTACAGAAGTAATATCTATTTCTAATATACTATAACAGCGTAATATTTTTTCGCAGCTAATTTTCAAATGCAAAGTCAGTTGAAGGACAACGAATTGTCAAATTTGAGGGGAAAATATGAGCAATTACAAAATAGAGTAAAAGAATTTGGAGGTATGTAACAAAATTATAGATTCAGTTAATTATATATCGAAATCTGTAAGTCAATGTACATTGTAATGTAAAACAATAACACACAAACGTGTTCTTTTAGATAATTCATCGAAAATTGTTCAACCAAATTTTTATCACCATTATCAAAATACATTGGACAAGTTGACCAATGAAGTTGAGTCATTGAAAAAGAAAAACAAAGAGTTTTTGAATGAAAAAAATTCTTTGGTATCAAAATTAGCAGAAGAGTTTGAACAATGTCCAATGGCATCGTTTGACTATGGAAACAAAAGCTACAATATTATCAGCAAATTAACTAAATCTGAGAAGGCTGAAAATGTGGATACGAGATGCTGTGATAAGTTCTCCGATTTATGTGTAACTGAACTCAATGAAAATCTGGATTTCGTCGGCGTTGTTGATAACGTTGTCCAAAAAGCATCTGATGTTATCGAAGTCCAACAAACTCCGACAATCGAAAACCCAATGAAAATCTTTGATTCTAGTATCAATGAAATATCATTTAAAAGGACTATCTCAAATAACCTCGAAATAGAATCGAATCGTCTAGATGCGACGAAGAACGATACGATTTCTACAGAAGAAAATTGCTGCAAAATATCCGCCAAATCCACCGGTCATAGCGACATAACAAACATCATACAACTGGACCAAATCACAACGTTTAAGAATACTGTTAACGATAAAAAGTATATATATATATATATATATATAAGAAACCAATTTATTATAATTTTTTTTAAAAATGTATGGTCTTTTCAGAAAAAAACTAATAGACAATAAATTAGATGCACGCTTAAAATCTGACCCGATATGTGCACTGCAAGAGTTGTGTATGTCCCGAGATTGGAGACTACCGGAGTATAAGTTTTTCGATGAAGGTGATAATAAAACTTTTACTTATTCGGTAGAGTGTAC